GACCTAGCTGCCTTTCCTCAAATATCTAGTTTAAGAGTATGCTAGATTCAGAACAAAAGCTTCTTCTTTGACTTCTTTTAAAGGGGAGAGTAGTCCTGCTTAGCACCCACACACAAAATGCTAATTATGTGAAGATTTTGGAACCTTTCTCAGAATGCGTAAAGTAAAATACATAGGATCACACACACACACACAGCAAAGAAACTCAATTATATTGAAATACAGTAGTTCAGGAACTGCAGCTTAAAACCTTCTGATTTAATGAGGTGGCAAATTTGGTCAGCTGATTCAAACTTCTTTGAAAGTAATTAAATCAAGCCTTGTGAAATATAACTCAGACTCTTGGCCACCGAGGCCATGCTGTTTTGGGCAAACCATTCCATGCAACAGTCTTTTCTGGGTAGCAATGAAGTCTCTTCCAATAGAAGGAAAGATTTCACTTTGGTCTTTACCAGTTCAGAATTTGGAAAGGGAAGGAATAGATTTGCTGCTGATGAGACCAAACAAGAGAAAGGGGCACAAAGTTATAGAGAAGGAAGATAAAGTATAATTACTAAAACTATAGTTACTAGAGCTGTAGTTATTTAAAGTTGGATTCCTGACGCAAAGGATAAAGTTTGATAAAGAGAGTTTAAAAAAAAACAAAACAATACGGCGTGACAGCCTAAATCCTTCCATATTCTGTACTGTCTTGATGGCTAATTCCTAATAATAACATGCTTTCTAACCAATTCCTTGTATAAAAAAAAATCACCCGTTAAAAACACCAACAAGTTGTGAGTGATCAGGAGTCACTGACTTAATGAGGTCTTATCATATAGAGAAACAACATCAGTGAAGGGCCTTGAATTCAACAAATTCGATATAACAAGCATTTGTTAAGCATTGGCTATATACTAGACTACTTACGTGCCAAGGGCTGCTAGGGGTACAAAGACCCTCAGAGAACCTCCATTTTATTGAGGAGAAGTGTGAAGGAACTGGGAACGTTGAACATGGAGAAGATCAGTCAAGATGGCCAGCTTCAAGCATCAGAAGAGAAGTCAAAAGAAGAAGGGCTGGATTTGTTCTGTTTGGCCCAAGAAGGCAGAGCAAGGAACCATAGGAAGAGCTGTGAGGAAGCAAAAGGAAAAACTCCCTAACAGCAAGATCTGTCCCAAAGTGGAATGGGTCACCTTAGAAGGTGCTTTCCCAACCTTGGAAGTCCTTGAGCACAAGTTGGACACCTTCTTGTTAGGGATGTTGGGTAGAAGACTTTTGTTTAGGTATGGATGGGCCTGGATGTTACTTGAGGTCCTACCAACTCAGAAGCGGGAGATTCTGTATTTGTGATGCCAAAGACATGTTGGTGGTGGTGGTTTTTTCCCATTTCAGTCACAGGACTTCCTTCCTGTCAGGGCCACAGGTTGATTTAAGACACTTCCATTGAAAAGGCCAACTCATTTTGCTTTAGCGATCAGTTGTCCTTATTTTCACTCCCCTTCAAGCTAGCCATAAACGTTAGCTCTATCTATCTGTGCTGGCCAGGACACAATTCCTTTGATGGAGGTGACAACCATTTGCTAACAAAGATTTATACAGAAACTCTTCTCCTAATGCAGACAGCTCTTGCCACTGAGAATGAAAATAAATAGGCAGGGGAATGTTCTGGGAAATGGGGAAACTACCGACGAAATGAAGTGTGAAACTCATAGGCTGCTTTGCAAAATCTTGAAACTTTCTCCTGTCTCTGCTGTCACAGAGGAGAGGGACCTTGGCATGCCTGCCAACTGTTGGAAAGCATCAAAAGATGTGCCTTCTGGTCTGTGCTGGAGATAAGCATGCAGCTTGCACAGCAGGATGACTATGAATTTATTTTTTAATCAAGTTTCCAAACCTGGAAGGCACAGGCTTTTCTGGCCACTGGTGTTCTTGCAGCCAACACCACCCTGCAGTGATTCCTCATTGTTAGCTGTACAATTTACAAAGCCTGCAAGCACCAGGACCCACTAGAGTGTCGGGAAGGCACGCAGCCCAGTGGGGCTGACAGAGATCTGAGAAGCTGGAAGTACTGGGATAGATGCTTGGGCAAGTTTTTAACACGTAGCAACACACACACACACAAACACACACACACACACACACACACACACACACACACACACGCACGCACACACCTCGTGGCAGAATGTCTGCTTGGCTCCTAAATCTGTCGACACATTTCAGTTTAACCTGGAGCTATGTTTATGTGGATGTCAGTGAAACAAAAATCAAAGCCTAGTGCCTGCTCACCAGGGAAGGAAATGTATCTGAGGAGGAGAATGGGGCTTTCTAGCATAGGGACCTCCTTGCTGGTTCTCTCCTAGATGCCCCAGATGAAAGGTGTGTCTCAGCCAGCCTTCTCTCATGGAAAGTTTGAATGCTCCTTTCTTCCTTAATGCTGAATTTCTGCAGGAAGGATGCAAAGGGCCAGTTCTGAGTTCTGCAGTGATTTCCGGACGGGCTATGAAACTACTTCCAAGAGTATACTGATTCCAAGCTGGCTTTATTCCCCCCAGAGAAGGGAACTTGAATGCTATACCTCTGATTTGAAGGTCATAGCAAACTTGCTGCAAAATACCAAGTTTTTACTCAACAAAGTGAACACTTCATGATGGTGCAGAGAGCTGGGTGTGCAGGACGCCAGGTTGGCTCTGGACTTCTGCTGTTGCCCCCAGCACCCAGCCCTCTCCCTATGACCTCCAAGTGGGAACCCTGCCTGTCCCCGGGCGGGGTCAGGTGGTAAGAGACATGGAATTAGGTGCACTGTGTCATCAACTATTTCTCAGAAGCGGTTTTTGATTACATTCAAGTGTATAGAGAGTAATGTGAATTATTTAGCAAAGTGTTACTGAGCAGGTCATTTCAGATCTGCTAGAACGAATGGATGTGAATGATTGATGTGGAGTTTTTGGTATGTGCTTGCAAAATCTCTCTCTCTCTCTCTCTCTCTCTCTCTCTCTGTCTCTCTTTCTCTCTCATTCCCTCTCTCTTCTTTTACCTTCCTTTCTCTTCTCTGCTGTACTCTCTCTCCCTTCTCTGTCTCTCCTTTCTTCTCTCTTCTTTTCCCTTCCTTTCTCTTCTCTTCTCCTCTGCTCTACTCTCTTTGTCCCTTCTCTCTCTCTCTCTCCTTCCCTCTCTCTTCTTTTCCCTTCCTTTCCCTTCTCTTCTCTTCCCTTTCTCTGTTTCTCTGTGTCTTTCTGTCTCTGTCTCTCCTTCCCTCTCTCTTCTCTCTCTTCTCTCTCTCTCTCTCTCTCTCTCTCTCTCTCTCTCTCCCCCCCCCTCTCTTTCTCTCTCCTCTCCCTCTCTCTCCTTCTCTCCCTTTCCCTCCCTCTCTCCTTCTATTTTAAGCATTTCTGGATTTAGAGTCAGAAGACCTAGTTCCTAGTTCCTAGTCCTGCACCCTGGGTGACCTTGGGTGAGTCATTTGACTTCTCTAAGGCTCAGTTTCCTAATCTGTAAGATGAAGGAGTTGGGCTAGATATCCTCTAATATCCCTGGCAGCTCTCAGTCTGTGATTCTGTAATTTGCTTAGAATTTTAGAACTGGAAACATAGAAATCCCCTAATCCTGGCCTCTTTCTTTTATGCAAGAAGAAAATAAGGCCCCAAAAAGGGGAGTCAATTTTCCAGTCACACAACTACTCAGTGGCCCAGGTGGACCTGGGGCCCAGCTCTCCTGACCATGAACTCCCTTATCTTTCCACTTTGACACATCATTCCCCTTTTCTTCACTGTGAGTAATAACAATGATACTCACAAAGGGTTTTCAGAGTCCTTTACCTATACCATTTACCTGACTCTCATAATAACTGTGACATAGGTGCAACAGATATATTATCCCCATGTTTCAGATGAGTAAACTGAGGCCCAGAGAGGTTACATGACTCACCATGTGTCATTTTTGGATCCAGGTTATCTGGAGTAAAATTTAGTTCCCTTTTCCTATACTATGTTGCCTCTCCATGGGAAGTCTCCCAAGGATCCAGGGATCACCGGTCCCAAATGACTCTGGTGTGCATCCATGAGGGGAAATGTAACACCTCTCAGTGTTTCTCACTGTGAATCTCAGCTTGACATCAAATCCAGATTGTACACGTGGTTTGTAAGCACTTGTGGACGTGTATTACTGGACCAGTATTTATCTTGATATTTTTTTTTCTTTTACTCAACACAATGCATGGTTGAATTCTGGGATTCTGGTAAAACATCAGGGAACAATGAAGAGATCACTGGATCTGGAATGAGAAGACCTGGATTTGAATCTCAGCTCCGCCACTGACTGATCTCTGAACCTCAATTTCATCCTTTGTAGAATAGAGGGGTTATATTTGTCACGCTGCAAGGTCCCCTCCAGCTTTAATTCTCTCATTTCAGACTATTTTATACTGCTCTTTCCCCATTGTATCCCAGCCCGTTTAGCTTAGCCCATGTCCACATAGTGGGACAGGACAAAAGGTATGGACTGATTGCTCGATTGACTGAATCTATTGACTTGGGGCCATGTAAATATAATCTCAAAATTCCAAGTTCTGATTAGAAATTGACACCCCCCCCCAAAAAAAAGCATCTACCTACTGTCTTCACCTCCGTGAAGTCCCATTTTGGATTTTTTAAAAACTAAATTGACTAAGAACCTCCTAGTCCAAATAGAACTGTGAAGATGTGAAGAACTCAGTGGGCTTGTTGGAATCCCTTCATAACACCCAGAATCACCACAGGGTGTGTATGATCAAACTCCTTGCCATTATCCTAGCCCCTCCCACTCCCGTATCTCACACACAGGAAGACAAAACTGCGTGAGTCACCCACGACTTTCTCAGCCCTCACACCCACTGCCATCATGCTCCCTTTTAGGACAGAAACTAGAACCAAAATGTCCGTGGGACTTGCTGACAACCAGGTAATCTCCCCTTCTTAATGAGATGAAGTGCTGTAATTTATGCAGACTCACACACTTTTTGATGGCTACCAAGGCCAAGAGATCTTTAAGTCACGTTTATTTTTGCAGAAAGAGGTCAATGCAGTTGAAGGCCACTGGCCCTCCCTTTGAATTGCACAGATTAAACAACAAAAACTATGACATATTTTAGCTTTTAAAAAGCATTTATATAAAAAAAATCCAAACTATTGATAAGGTTCACGATGAAAAATATATAATATATATTTATATATAGCCAGAAGACTAAGACATTTATCTTACATATATACAAGATGTATACTCATTTTCCCCCCAACTCAAACCACAAATCATGGGAAAATATTTAGTTACATGAGAAAGTTACAAAACATAAAAAAATGAACATTTGGAAAAACACCACATGTCCAAGCTCATTAAATAATCACACTGACAAATAAATAGTTATTCTGCTTCAATTGGCAGCTGCAGCCATGCATTTCTGGCATACCACGATAACTGGAGGTGAGCATGCATGTCATGATTTCATACCATGAACTTTGGAGGAATCACTGGGTCTCATTTGGAGCAGAAATACCCAACATTCACTAAAATACTCAACAGGGGCACTATTTCTTGACTCATGAAATGTTCCCATGAAAATTCACAGTGAAGCACCTTTCTGAAAATAAAACACAAGTGAAAATTCATGGTAACAATTCTTCACTTTTTGGGCTGGATTATGGGACAGGAGAGGAGTCACAGAGGGGCGAGGCTAGTCTTTCAAATATCATGTATATTTCAATTCTGGTGATGGGTTTAGAGAAAAACGGTGCTTGCACAAACTCCCATCCTGAAAAATCAGAGAAGGAAAAACAATCGTCCCCAAGAAGATCTTTATACATCAACCGCCTTCTTGGCTCTACCGAAGCAACAAGCAGAGATTTGGAAGGGAGCACACAGCGATGGAAGTCTTCAGTCTTGATGCAGCGTGACCTGTAGAGCACAGGACCACAGATCAGTCCCTGGCAAGAGCTGACCGGCTCCCTAGCTCAGGCTGTGCTTGCTAGATTTGCTGGCTCGTTTCCGCTCCTTGTGATGCGGTACAGGTTTTGCGGGTGACAGACCCTCATAGTTGTGGCTTGACTCATTGTGCTGCCGAGTGTACCTCTTACACTTGCAGGCGGTGACCACGGTGATCTTGTAGGTGCGAGTGCTTCCATCCTGGCACTGGAGCTGGATGCGCTGGGTGCGTGTCTTGTCATTGACACACCGCCATTCCTGGGAGCTCCTTCGGCTCCAATATTTGGTGCCGAAGCTTCCTCCGATCCAATTGGGGAGTACCGGGAGTGGCAAACATTCCCCGGCACACACCAGCTCCTTGAGCGGACTGATGCTTGTACACTGGCCATCAGAAATGTATTTGGTGGAACGAAGCTCTCGGCAGCCAACTTGGACTCGACCTGCAAATCATGGAGAAGGGAGAAGGGGTGGGGTCAAAGGCTCACCGGAAAGAAAGGATTCCCAAACCAAACCTGCAAGGGTGAAAACGGTCCTCCAGTGATGGTGATGCAACACCAGGGTAAGAAGCTTTGAACTCCTTAGTTTGAGAAGGTCTATAAAAGGCAAACAGAGTAGTTTCTATCTGATCTAAGAGGAAATGAGTGACCACTAGAGTTATTTGAGTAGGAACCCAGAAGGTCCTGGGTTCAATCCCACCTCTCCTGCTTATCCTGCATGTGTGGCCCTGGGCAAGTCACTGAAAATCACAGACTCAGAGCAGGAAGAAACCTCAGAGGACATCTCATTCAACCCCTTTGTTTTACAGATGAGAAAACTGTGACATAGAGAACTTAACTGATTTGCTCAGGGTCAGTCGGTACGGATTTGAGGTAGGGTTTGAATCCAGCTCTTCTGGACTCCAATGCACTTAACCTCCCTGGGTCTCAGTTCCCTCCTTTGTAAAATATGGGAATTGGACTAAATGGGCTGAATTCTCTACAGCTCTACGACTATTATCCTGTGATCTCAATTGCTTCTCTTAGTATTAACTGGAAGAAAAGAATGCTCATCTGCTGAAAATATGTATAAAAGCGTGTTCATTCAGCAGTTGCCAACATCCATAAACTTCCTTGTCTTCCATGTGACTTGATTGGTCAAAGTGCTTTGACCCATGTTTGTTACAATTTGATCTCCCCCTCCTCTGTTTTGTTGCTGGAATTTGAGGGAATCATCCACCAGTGTATGAATCTGCCTCTCTCCTCTTTGGAATTTGATCACTGATTTGAAGAATCACACTTATTTTCATGAATTTCTAAGCTGTCATTGAAGCCCATAAGGAATCATGATGGACAATTCTAACGTTCCTTAGTCTAAAATATCCAAATGGCCAAATCAGAAGGCTTGGTTGCCGTAACAACGTGACTTCAATTCCTCTGAAATTTATTATATCAAAGTATATGGCACAGCCAAGAGGACACAGTTGAGGGAACCAGGATGCTCATTTCCTAAATGCTGCTTGCAGAGAGCCAGAGTGAAACCAGTGGTCTTATTCTGTGATCTGAGTCTGCTGCTGTTGGTGATGTTTCCAGTGCAGTAAGCCTAACACAGTAACAAACCCGGGAGTGATGTATGGGCCATGACTTTGGGACCAGAGCATACAATGGATGCCCTTGCTTTACAATCGAGGAGAGACCGAGGAGGGAAAAAAAATTAAGGAAAAGGAAAGCTCAAATGTTAGAAATTATTCAGGACCTCCGAAAGGGTTTCCACATGCATTTCTTCTTCCCGTATTGAAAGTTAACTACAGTGAGGCAGTGGTTGAGGGGTGTTCCTTCATCCTAGAAATGTGACCAGGGTGGGGATGTTTCTCATTAGGTGGGTGCCCCAAGGTGGCTTCCCTTCCTGCAGCTGTGCTGAGGAATGTACCTGGCAGCAGCTGATCAGATGCTCGGGCCTTTTGTCTGCTGTGGCTCTTTGGAAATAGGCTTCCCATTTTTGCAGAGACAGTTCACTGACGATGAATGTTCTGTGCACTGCTTAGTAATCTTGTAATAAGCAGAGATTTCCTGTGCACTCAAAACCACCCAGGTTCAAGAAAGTGACACACCTTAATCTGTGTAGAAAGACATGACTCTCTCTCTCTCTCTCTCACACACACACACACACATACACACACACACACACACTTTTACTACAACTTTCAGGATAGAATCTACTCTTGTGGCTGGAGGATAGACAGGAGGAGGGGGAAGAGGAGGAGGAGGAGGAGGGGCTATGGCTTCAGACAGGACGTTTTCTAGATTCTATCTCCTGTCTCTTTAAAAGCAGACTGGGCCAGGCAGGCCAACTCCCAGGGGAAGGAGATCCCCGCATGTCACAGGCAGTGCTCACACCCAGACAGTGAAAACAAAAACCAAGGAGCCTGGAAATCAAATGAATGGAAGAAGAGGGGCATGCCCCCTCCCCCCATTCTCCCACAGACCGTGGAAGGTGTGAGAGGTGGTTCATGGACTAAATACTCAAACAAAATTTGATACCTCCCCCTTAAAGCTCCATTTCCTTTAGAATGAAATCAGCAAAACCTTAAACTATTTTGTTTGATAGCTTTTAAACCTCTGGTTTGTCACACATTGTAGACTCATAAATTTGGAGGTGGTCCAGACCTTCAAGGTCATCTGGTCACGGGTTGAGAGGCACAAAGGACCTACTCCCTCATTTACAGAGGGGGAAAATGAGGCTTCGATTTGAAACGTATCCTCTGCTTGCCCAGAAACCATTCTTTTCTCCTCCTACTTTATTACACACAGTTACAGTCAGATGTCTTTGGCCTGTCCTTTCCGGTTGTATCAATGTGCCTGGGATAGACAGACTAAATGGAGGAATTAAAGAGAGTTTGTAGCAAAGTTTATTTTATTATTTTTAAAAGAAGAAAGAAATCTTGATGTCGTGCAGCTGTGGGGGCACAGTTCTCTTCCTGGGATCAGGGTGCTCCACCAGGATTTGCACTTGGCAGTGGGCACTGGGGATGCCAGCAAACACACACACACAAAAACACGCGCGCACACACACACACACACACACACACACACACACACACACCCCGACAGTTCTTTAGGGGGAATGCCTGGCCAGACCATCCTTTGCCCCCACACGCTCTCCCGGAGCCAGTTTTACAAAGCCCTCGCTGTGTTCAAGGCGCTGTCAGTCCTCAGCAAGGAAACAGTGAGATCACTCCCAGAAGGTGTCCGCGAGTGCTTAACGACCCTTCCCTAGAGGTGGGCGGGCGGGCGGGCGGACGGGCGGGCTAGCGCTCTGGGCAGTGCCTAGGCAGCTCGGCGGGCAGCAGGGCGGTGCCCGCACCTGAGGCCCCTAGCTTCTGCCGGCAGCTCCAGACCCGTGCCCCGCAGCTCGGAGCCCTAAATGCCGCCGCCGCCGTCTAGCACTGACTGCCCCCGGGTTTCAGTCTGGCATCTGCCCGCAGACAGCTGCGGCTCAGGGCGGCCCCAGGCCACCTCCCTCGGGTTCCTTGCACACCCCCGCGGGTCTGTCCCATATTCGTGCTCCTGCCCCCCGCCCCCAGGACCTCCTCCCGCCCGGTTCGATCGCCCCTCGGACCCAGCCGTCACTTACTGCTCCGCGCCTCCAGCCCCGAGGTGGCACTGCTACCCGGGAGGCGGCCGCCGTGGCGAGCCTGGTTCAGGGCACTGCTGTTCCCGCCGCCGCCGCCGAGGAGGATCGCCGGGGCTCCCCCGGACGCCCCCGCAGCCGCCTTCACCACGTGCGAGTACAGGAGCTCGGTGGCGTCGTTCTTGAACCCACAGCCGCCTCGGGCGAGGACGCCCGCCAGGAGCAGCAGCGCTCCGGGGCCTGTGGGCAGCTGCATGGTGAGCGGAGACGAGACGGGGCGAGACGCGGCTGCGGCGAGGGCGACGGCGGTGGCAGCCCGGCCAGAGGGCAGGAGGGCAGGAGGGCAGCAGGGCGGGAGGGCGGGAGGGCAGGAGGGCAGGAGGGCCGGAGGGCCGGAGGGCCGGAGGGCCAGAGGGCCGGAGGGCAGCAGGGCGGGAGGGCGGCAGGGCGGGAGGGCGGGAGGGCGGCAGGGCGGGAGGGCGGGAGGGCAGCAGGGCGGGAGGGCAGCAGGGCGGGAGGGCAGCAGGGCGGCAGGGCGGAATGCAGCCTCCACTCCCCGTCCAGCCTCCCTGCCGGCCCGGCGTCTGGCTCACTGGCCCTCGGCTCGCTGCCCGTCTGACTGGCTTAACGTGGGTCCGTCCGTTTATCCGCCCGCCTCCCTCTCTCTTCGCCCGTTTACCGCTGCCTAGCACTGTCCAAGTGGGAACTTTCTCCTGCCTCCCGTCATTTATAGAGACGCAGGGGGCTGGGGGAGGGAAGCCGGAGGGGGCGGGGCGGCGCTGGCCCGCCTTCAGGTGTAAAGTGGCCCTACCGCTGGAAGAAGACTGAAGGGGGGGGGGGGGGGGCAGGCAGCCCTCCCTCCTCTTTTCCTCCCTTCCTCCTTAACTCCTTCCCTCCTGCCCCCCACCCCCTTCCTCCAGGCGTGACCCGGTAAATGCATCTTACCAATGAAAGAGCGGGCTGGATCCGGAGAGGAGGAGCATCGACTCCAAATGCGCTCCGAAGGACACCCCCCGCCGCCCCTGTCCCCTCGTATTCTGCGGGACGTCAGCGGGCCCATCCTACCCTCTCTTCTCCCCTCTGTCGTCTCCCCTCCTCGATGAGCCATCAGACTAAGAGCCCCTGCCCTGGCCCTCCCACCATTGCATCCTCAGGGTGAGACTTCAGACGGAGAGGCGAAAAGCTCCAAGTTAACTAGACGCAGTTGGGCTGCTAAGAACCGACTTTTAAAAAGCTCGGTGTACACAAATCAAAACCGTGTCCAGATTCATGGCAATGAGGCAGCTTTGATCTCACAGACTGGTGGCTTGGTCATTTGTCGCCCAGGGTCCTTCGTTGGGAACAAAGAAGACAATCCCGCATGCATTCATTTGGACCGACGATGGTCTGACCGCACAGCACAACGGGGCGAGCTATGGGGTGAGAGGACCCCAAGTCAGTTCTCGGCTCTGCCATTTACGTGGTACCCCTCTGACGCTCTTCCCTTCAACGCCGTTACTGAGAATTCACTCATGCCATTAGCATTGTAACAATATTACAATAATTAAGCATGGGGACAATAGAATTGTCCCAAAGGTCCGTACTGGTCCCTCCTCTTGACCTTTAGGGAGTTTGTTTTAGACAAATAGCTGAGCTGTCACAATCATTCTAAGCCCCCGGTTGGGAAAGTTCTTAACATTTAAGCAGAGATTGGCCTCTCTGCTCGAATGAACATGTATACTTATTTCTAGTTTAACCCCAGTCCTTTTGGTAGATGAGGCAGATTTTAGGTTCCTGGAAACATCTGGGTAATCAAGCAGCATGATATAGTATAGTGTCTGGTTAGATGGGAGGAGATCAGAAGGTGGAGAATCAACCTTTTCTTGGGACTTCCTTCAACTCCGAGGTGCCTGTGCAGCTGATGAGGCTCCTTCACATCTTCCTTCACAGCTTGGTCCTCCCTTTGTATCTCAGGAGTGTGCCGGAAGGCCAAGCTTGCTGTAGCCTCTCCAATCCAGACCCTTAGAATCTCTCCCTCTGGCTCTGATATAGCCATGCCAGATCACCTCTTCCCTTCTCCTGTCTCTTCCGAAAAAATCCACTTCATGCCTCCTTACCTCTTCCTTGGTATCACAGTTTCGTCCTGTGCCGTTGGCGTCTGTCCCCACGTCTTCGAAGGAGGCTTTATTAGAACGACTTCTTCCTGGATTGTTTCCTGCCTGAAGAAGATAGCTCAGGGGCTTCTGATCTATGATTACCAGACTTCTTTCTACTAAAGCAAATGCTGGCCATGCTCACTCTAATGTTGGGCCCGACTTAGCACTGTAAATAGCTAACATTTGCAGAGAGTGTTTTAGTTTATAAATTATTTTACCGATATTACCTCAAGTAATCTTCATGAGAGCCCTGAAGGTCTGTAAGACATACAAACATTAACATCATCACTTTGGAGGTGCATCCTGAAGGTAAGAGAGGTGAATGACCATGATCACCCAGAAGGAAGGTTTAATCTAAGTTTATGAGCTCAGGTCCCTCCTGACTTTTGGTCCAGCCTCGCCTTCCATGGTGACCAAGTCACATTTGTGCTTCTTCACCTTGTCTGATGGTTAATGTATCCTATGTCTAACCCAATGAATGGAGTAAGCACAAAGAATTAAAGGACCAGAAAAGACCCAGGGCTATACCAATAGCCCATCCTCAGGCCCCAGCTCTCTTTCTTCCCTTCTGATACATTAGCTCAGGGTCCTATGGGTGATTTCAGCTGGCTCAAGGCCTGTTTACTTTGACTTGGTTTCCTCATCAATCACACAAGCTGCTTTCTCCCATTATGCTCACTCCTCCTGATCACCATGGAAGAATTTAGAACACAATCAAGTGATATGGAAGCAAAATAATAAAAGTAATTGTGGATGAAGATTTGGAGGGCTACTGGTTTGAGATCTTAAAATGTGTTTTATCTGAATAAAAAATTTATATAGTTCTGAATAAAATGCCTTTTTAGTGTGTTTAGACGACATATGAAAATTAGATGAAGCCTCTGTTTTCGGGTCTCAGTAACCCCCAGGGGGTGGTTTTGTGCCATAGTGTATGGGGTGCCAGCCTTGGGGCCAGAAGGACCTGGGTTCAAGTCCAGCCTCATACAAAGTGGCCATCTGACCCTGGGCAAGTCATCTAAGTAAGCTGCTTCATGGTATATTGAGCAGAGATGGCTTCCTGGTGCCCCAGGCAGCTCTAAAATGGTTATGGATGAGTTGCTGAGACACATATTTGGAGGGAAACTATCCCCAAAAGGTCAGGGATGGGATGAAAGGGAGTTTTTTTGTTGGTGAAAATGAAACATTGATCAATAATGGTAATAATGACCACAGTAGCTAGCATTTATATAGTTCTTTAAGCTTTGCAAAGCACTTAATACATCTTATGTTGAGGCTGCTAGGGGGCTCCACAGTACACAGAGGGTACTTCCTGAAGTCAGGAAGACCTGAGTTCACATCCAGCCTCAGACACTTACTAGCTGTGTGGCCCTAGGCAAGTCACTTAACCCTGTTTGCCTCAATTTCCTCAACTCTAAAATGGAGATAACAACAGAACTCCCCCTGCCCCAGTTGTTGTGGGGCTCAAAGAGAGAATATTTATAAAGACCTTGTACATCATAAGTGCTATCGAAATGCTTATTCCTTTCCTCCTTCCCTCCTCACAACAATCCTGGAAGGGAAATGCTGTTATTACACCCATTTTACAGATGAAGAAACTGAGGCATGCAGCAGTTAAATGACATGCCCAATGTTTCACAGCTAGTAAGTGTTTGGGGTCAGATTTGAACTCAAGTCTTCCTGATTCCAGGTCCTTTGCTCTACCCACTACATGCCCAACTGAAACACTCATTTTCAAGGTTTTCTTTGTTTATCTCTTAAAATGTTTCATAGAAATAAGGACTCAAAACTGGAAGGAATCTGGACATCATCTAGTCCAATCCTATAATTTTTCAGGTGGTGAAACTGAGACCCAGAGATGGGAAATGACTGGCCTAAAATCTATTGGGATAAAAAAAAAAGAGAAAGGAGAAAAAGAGAGAGGCAGAGAAGATAGAAAGGAAACACTGGAGGAGGGGATAAGAGAAATGTGAGAACGCTTGTCAAACATTTTTCTGGTTTCTTGTTTTCTTGAATTTGTTTTGTTTTCTTCGATGAATGCTTTAAAATGAAAACCTGGTGCCCTGGAAAGTGAGGGAGACCGGAGTCGCTGGAGCTGGGCTTGAATCCTATCTGGGAAAACTTTTTGTTGTCTGACTTTGGAGAAGTGACAGGCCACGGTCGGCTTCTTCTGTAAAACGAGGGGCTGAGCTATGAGACCCCTGAGAGTCTTCCAGCTGCATCCCTGATCCCAAGGGGTCTGAGGAAAGCAAGAATATGTTGCTTCAGTCGCAGAAGACAGAGCTGAGTTGTAAACTATCTTTTAGGGAGAGTTTCATCATACATCAGCTCACGGTTTAAATTGTCCCTGAGCTGACTCTCCAGTGTATTTATACAGAGGTCGGTGTAGGGGAAGCCTCGCATCTCTGACAAGCAGCCAGGGCAGAGCTGGAGGCAGACAAGGGGAAGGCTAATCTGGGCGGGGTCTTCTGGACCAAAGCACAGAGCTCCCGGTCCGGCAGGCACTCAACTGCCATACTTGGTAGTCAGAGGGAGAGAGGAGGCTTTCCAAGCAGTGCCAAGCTCAGTTCAGCTATGCATGGCCGGCCGCACCCACGGGTGACGTGCCCTCTAGATGCTTTGCCAGGCCCTGGCTGGAGCCCTGACAAAGCGCCTCTCCCTGAAGACCTGAGCCTTCCAAGAGAGCCCAAGAGAAGGTCAATGCCGTCACCTCTGTCCTCTGATTGAGGGTAAGCCTGGCTAACATGCATTATCACAACATTTCTTCAAAGTTCTTCCATCTCGAGCAGATCCACTCGGAAATCCTGGCCGGGTTTTAGTGCTTTCTTTAACAAGTGCCTGCCATCCTGTTCTTTGATCCAGAGAAATAAGCATGTGATTGAAAACATGGCCGAAAGCTCTTCCGAGAATCCCAGCTTCAATCCCCTTTCTCCTGACCAGCCTTTTCACTTCACCCAGAAAACCTTTTCCCTGGCGCCGCAGGCCCAGGAAAGAGCACTGGCTCTTCCATGGGACCAAATGAGATAAGATTTCTAAAGCCTGGCACACAGTAGGTGCTTAATAGATGCTTATTGACTGACAGACTATTGATGAAGGCGAACTTTCCCTTCCTATTCTTTTCCTT